TGGAGGTGTGCTACTGAAGCCCTTTGTTCCACTAGGAACCCAATGGACAAATCCTTATAATAATAAGGCTTTTGTCTTGTTTTGAGTCAAAGTCATTACGGTCGGCCTCCCAATGAACTACATTCAGGAATGTCAAAACTATTTATAATCCCTTTGTTTGTTCAATCCTGTCTAGCTTGAACGAATAACACATCTTGGGCATCCAGATAGAATTTGGGCATCACTGCTTTTCTTGATTAGGTGATCGCATGTTAGTAGTACTTATCGCAATTATCACGCTCTTTACCGTAGTCAACAGAGAGGAAACAGTCTCGCCACTTACAGTGGTAAGATAAAACGATCATCATATTTAGCCCGAATCACTATGGAGAAAGTAGTTAGTTTGATGATATTATACAATCTCCGTCTCCTCATTACGTTGTTCAAGTTTATCATGGAGATCAATTGTTTCAAGTTAAAAAACCAGGTGTTCCCCAAGGATGCGCTAAGCATTAGTGGATGATCATATATTCATCACTAGGAAAATAATCGCATTCCTGAAAACTTTGACTAACTAAAATATCAAAATAAAGCGCCTGACCAACTGAAATAAAATGTTCACTTTCATATAAAAAATACAGTAAAAGACAATCAAATTATAAATAGTTCATCAGGTGGCTAATAGTTTATCAAGAGTGTAAACAAGAACCGTCAGACAACCAGTGGAACTATATTCCACTTCAATAACAGTGCAACTGTATCAGATCAAATCTAAAAAATTAGACAGATGATCTAGATACTTGCGAATACATGTCTTAGGCCTTTAAAAGCCTATTTCATTTGGTTTACAATGATTATAACATAATCTGGCATCATCATCAGTCTTTTTAAAGCAGCCAAATGTTCGCACTCACGTTTGAAACTTTTTTCAATGACTACAAACAAATACTGCTTTCCCGAGCACTCCTAACGAACCAACCAGGTTTTCAAAAGAATTGGATACCAGGAGCTAGGATTATAAGGAAGTTAAAAACTACGGTAATAGCGGATGAAAATAGTAACTTCAAGAGGGGTGCTAACTTAGAAATATATTTCCAAAGTTTAAGGTGTCATTAACAAGACTGTCACAAATCTGCTTACTTTCGTTGTTTCTGAAATAGCGTGATAACGGTATAAGAAAAACCGACTGCATATCTCAGGATTAGAAATCGCTAATAATTATTTGACATGCTCTGAAGATTCTGATAGATGACTGAACTTGTACATTTATAAGTTTGTAGTTTTCTCAACCCTCAGTAAAAATGTTTACCCCTCACGTTTTCTGCTTATCCCAATGTTTTTTGTTTACTGTTGCACTTCTGACAATAAGTCAGCAGCTTAAATTTTACTGATTATGATTTTTTGGATCTACAAAATGGTGCAGGTCTAAGCAAAAACTTTATGACCACTTCGGAAGTTATGAGTGAATCCCATAGAAATTATATCACTGTCTTTAACGACTAGTGTTAAAAGTTACTTAATATCTCGGCAGAAAAATAAAAAATATTCAAGGTAAAGTTAGTGAGCTCCACTATGTCAGTGAAATCAGTCAATTATAGCTGATAACTCCTATGCAAGCATACTTCAATAATAGCAAATGTATAATTACGGACTCAATTGTTTTATTTTAATTGACAAACATTTCAGGCTCACTTTGAGATACGATCTACTTGCACTTGGGTTAAACCAAATTATTTGTGCTGATGTGAAGATTATCTATCTACTTAAAGGATATAACTGAATGCAACTAACTAAAACGAAACAACTACCTTTTATGTCTAAGGCCACTACAGGCATGTATGAAAAATGTGAAAAGTCGCAGTTAGACTAGCCAGACCGTTTTAATATAAGCAGTCTTGATCGTTCCAATAGTTGATGTGTAAACGCTTTTCATTAATAAGAAGGAATACGTTGGTTACAGCGCTGAAAGCTGAGGCAAAAACTGAGGTCATCGAAATTAATTTGAAGAGGAAGCAAAACAGTTTGAATTTAATATGTACTATAAAACAGATATCAATCAATACTGAGTTACAAACTTCTTTATATTTTCAATATTTGCTAAGGATTTGACACCCACATTAATTATGAGCAACATTATTCATACACTATTGGATAACTTACAGTACTTGTATCACAACTTAGTTCTAAATCCAAGATCTTTTCTACTTACGCTTTATTTTTTCTTTCGAAATAAATCAGTAGAAAACTCACTTAAAAACCTAGTAACAGGCTTGTAAATGAGTGCTTGGAGGACTTAATGTAAAAGACCAACTTTGTCTGACAGAATTGTTGAAAAAACACTTTGACTTGGTGTTCTTCAATAACTCAAGTTATATCGTGTTATAATATAAACCAACTTACAAATAGGTTTCAAAATTTACCTTTTAACGAAATATATAAAATACAATTTAACAGTTGTCATCATAAGTTCTCCCCTCTTTGGTATTTATTATTGCGAATGTTTAAAAGCTAAAGCTCACAAACATCACCATTATTCCTATAAATGACTTTACCAACCATCAATCTTGCTTTTAGTATTACATCAAGAGTACTGATCTGAAGTAATCCTAGAAAAGTAAGGATGGGATCAAAAATTCTAACTACTCCAGCTTTTGCTTTTATTAAAGCACGATTAACCTCTTCAATACTTTTGATTTTTGCTTTTAGACTTATTTGCCGCTGGTCAGTTAACCTTTAGTAAACTCTTCCAGATTTCATTACACACAAAAAATTTTCTAGAGGGTCAAAACATTTCATTTTGATTTTGAGTTTATGACCTTATTTACTATTGTTAATCTCACTTATGAATACAGGTATCTGATCAAGGTACTATGGATAGAGGGCGGTATGCTTTTTAACATGTACATCAAATAGTACTATTAGATACATTTCAGCCCCAAATCCATCTTTTGGGTAATTCACAAATTTTTCTGTTTGTAAAACTCTCTTCATAGTGAAAAGTCAGTAGGACTGATGTGTTGCATAGCAGTAAGCTCCATAAAAGCTTGCTTTCACTCCTAAAAATCCGGTAAAAATCTCCTACATATTTACGAAACAAGATGAACGTGCTGGGAAACCTCATGTAACGGGACCTATGGTGAATCTCATTACACGTAACTCTACACTTACGAAAAACAAAGGAATTACAGGTAAACAATAAACATCAACAGGTGTGACTTCACAAAGTTGATTCAAAAAGCCAGCATGATGGAGCGTGCATATTAGTAAAAAAATTAAACTGAGCTGTAATCAGCAAACATATTCTGAAATGCGTTGTTTGAAGACAGCATTGTAGTAGTGAAAACTTCTCGAAGTTCAACAGACAACTTACTCAACCCTTCAGTGAATAAGAGTCAACAGAATGGATTTGGTCAAACTGCAAGAACTACATGAGACATAAAAATGCAGTCAAGATCAATATATTATTTCAATTTGCGGATATTTAAAATACCTGGCTGAAACGTTATGTTAACAGAAATAATTAATAATGCACTAAAATTTAACAGAAAAGTCTGATAAAACCAACAATATGAATGCATCTATTTATACCCTAGAAACTAGATCAAGTTGAACAAAATAGTACGCAGATATTCAGTGCACATTATCACCAATGCTCACTGAGAGTCATTACAAACAAAAAATAATTTGTCGAATTAGGGAGGATATTAGATATACATTTAATGCATCATTGCTCGCTGAGAAGAGATTTTTGTCATAAACTGACATCGTTAAAAGAAGCTAGAGAAAAATGGAGTGCTAGACAACTCATCCTTCAATTGGAGACTTGCATGGAGTACGGGCTACGGAGTCTGGTGGGCACTAGGCTTTTCTGAATTCCTCCTAAATGAAACCAGTGTCTTGAATGTTTACAGTCTAAATAAGACCGAGACCTCATAGATTTCACTATTCAAAGAAGTTTTGGCTCCTGAACTTTTCCTGGATAAGTAATCAGATACTTGAAATATTATCAATCACTTTGCTGGTTATCTCTATGAATACTATGAGAGACGCCATCAATATCATGCGTTTATTGTCTGCTGCTGTTTATCACCCTAATGGCGAATAAATCGTCAGGTCTTACCATATGGCAACATGCATGATGGTCATAATATCTGACTAAGAATCCACTCGTTGCTTATTACCTATGACATCAAGACCGAATAGTACTTTCAGTCATAGCTATTTAATACCATGATATGTATTTACTACAGTTGCCTTCTTCTGACTTGGTATGGCATAGTGTGTTTGCTTCATCGGCAGTGTCTAGGGTTGAAGAACGTGTGATTAAGCTTTCTTTCAAACATCTGCTGAGTATTTTCGATACTCGATGAACTGATTTATTCCAGCTGGAAAGTTTCTTCTTAGATATGATTACGTGCTATATTGTAGGAATGATTTGAAAGTTCTTTGAAAAATGTATTCTACAGGACCAACTGCACATTCCTTTTTGATCGAACTTAAATTTGAGCGAACATTTATGATCTCAGAATGATAGTGAAGTGACAATACTTAAATAACTAGTAATACGAAAAAGTGGTCCGAAGAATAATTAAGGAATTCAGTCGAAACCTGAAAAGTAATTTGGCCTCCCACCCCACTATTTTCCACTGAAATGTTAATAACATTTTTTTCTATTTTTGTTACATATTCAGTCTTCTATCCAAAGTATCCTTTTTTCATTTGGAAGAAACTTAAGCTTCATCCAAGTCCACGGTTAAACGTGGGTGCAGAAATAAGACGGGCAATTACAGAAAAAATGCTGTTTAGCGCAGTGCCAATAAATGTGAAAATAATGCATAAGTTTGGACTTTAAATCAACATTTACTGATTTGTCGAATAAATTCCTCACAGGACATTTCTTTTTATTATTATGTAAGAACATTTACAAGTCAAAAGACAGATGCATTGTCAGAGCAAAAGCCAAAAAAATGTAATGGAGAAACTAGTTTGAACACTTCATTCAACGAATTATTTCATCTCACTTTCGGGGTTTTTGATTACAGTTGTACAACCATTCATAGACACTATTAATTCGGCGTTGCGATCTATCTCCCGTTTATTGAATGGTCTGATACGGACAGCTACTTTAACTCTATCACAAAACTCTATTAAGGAACATGAACCTACTGATCTTCTGACATAGCGCAATAACAAATCGTAAATTTGAATGATTAGACAATTCCGCGACTCATTTTGCGCATTTATACAAAGTATTGGACTGTTGGGATTTAAACGTTTATACTAGTAACTTAGTCATTATAACTGGCCAGGGTGTGATAAAAATTGAGAAACTGTACTCTACGCTGAATATACTAATAATAAAACAGCTTGTTCTCAAGGTTGTGAACTAGTTCACTTTGACCTTGAAACTATTGCAACTCACTTGACTTGATGTCAGGTACTGCAACTACGAATGTTCTCGATGCACTACAAGAGAATGCTGTACCTCAAAAGCAAAAGCATAAACGTCATTTGTTCCCAAGACTGGATTTATGTCCCAGAGAAAAGCAATCCTATCTTAACAGCATCTCACGTATCCACAAAGGAAGGTTAATCAGAGAGTCAAAGAAGGAACAAGTGAACAGAATTCTACCTGTTCCATCAAGGAAAGTGAGGTTTACTCCAGTTCGTCCGAAGAATATTCCAAATATCCCCAATCCAACCAATAATTTTTCCTGTTGCAACTCAAAGCACAATGGACGATTTCCTAGCACGGCCAAAAACCGGCTTGTTTTCAATAAAAGTGGAAATATATCCATCCAAAAAAACCGGCAGGCAAAGTCCCCTACAGCTTGCGTAGACCTGCTTAATCTGCCCCCCGTACCTCTGAGCTTGAAAATGACGAATTCATTCGATTTAACTCCAGGGAATTACAATCGTAATTTTAAATCTGGAACAAACATAATACGGGAGAAAGATTTGGATCTTATCATTCCACAGATAATAAAACCACATCCAAGGTCAAACAGTAGTTCTATTATGTCTACCCATTCTCCCTATGTACAAAGGTTGATGTGGAGTCCTATGCCAAAAACACCCATAATAACAGCTGATATACACAAGCTGGAGAGTTTGTGGTGCAAGCGACGGAATGAACTTCAACGACAGATAACAGAAAGGTACAAACAAGTCGATCCTTACAAGTTCAACAGAAACTGTGACGTCTGTAGACAATCTACTTTACATGACCGAAGTACTGAGAGCTTGCATGACAGAGATTTCCTTAACTGGTCCAGCAATTTACAAAGTTTGAATTCGACAGCGATGCCGATTCTCTACTGAACAGTTGATCAAGTTGTTAAGGGTAATTTTCACTGGTTTGGCTATTTTCTTATATCTTTTGGTGACACACCGGCTACTTATAAATTTCAAAACCATACAATTGAGGCTAATGTGATATTGTTTTTGTATTGTTTGGTTATGTGTCCGCTTATTCTGACCAAGTAATCAGTGGCGAAAGCATCGATATAGGATTCAGAAAGAATGAGTTTCATAGCCACTAATCTCTAGTCTTTACCTTCAAAAAGCATTGGCTGAGATATCTTATATGTTTTAAGTATACGCTGAAGATACCTGGATACCACAGTGAAACTCATTGGGTTGCAGCTGCATAAGAAATCGATTAAAATCCAAGTTGTCCATCGTCATGAGTTGCTGGAGCACATATTATCGGCTCCACTGGGTTCAAACTGAAATAAGATAGCAAATACTATGGGCTTTTAATAACAGCCTCGGCAAAACAGTCCGAACATATTTATTTTTATTTCTGTTCCTTTCACAGCACCTGACATGTGCTCGACTTTATGACACTAAGTGGCTGTCGTTGCGAGTTCCTGAACAGCATCGACCGACATGTTTCGAAGAAACTAACTGAGTCTCGTCACTTTATTGTAGGGAATGAAGATGCTCAAGTCGGCTTCGATGCTTTCATTAAGGTTGATACTCAACACTACTATATGTGTCCTATTAGAAGTACCTCCTTAGGTACTCAGTTTTGGTTCAGGCAAGAGGTCAGTGCATGCGCGCTCCATGGAAGCGTAGTCATGGATCTACTTAGATCCATTTTCCGAAAACCAACACCTATATGTGACACTGCATTAACGGTAATATCTTTTCATAAATGGCTGTGCATGCTTCGAATAGTTACTTCCACGAACCCGAAACTTGCAGCATCACTGCTTAGATATGATCTGAAGACTATTGGTTGAGTTGAGATATCAATGAGATCTTTGGCCCCTCCCCACATTTCGAAACGTCTTACTATCGAAACAAATTTATGGAAACCGTTGTCTCTGACTATGTAAGACAAAAACGATAGGGGTAATAACATGACCTAGCTCTTTTTTGACTAGTCAAATGTAATGAGGTTAGGTTTTTCCCTTCGAATGAAATTGAATGGAATATTCATTTGTGCCCACCTGTATCCCTCCAAATTCCCACCCTACGAAGTTTGGAATGATCCCACATATCCTATCGTTTGATGAACGAAGACGCCAGGTGTGTCTGTATACATAGTGATATTCTATTTATGAATCAATGATGAAGCTTCCAGACACTGCAGTTCACTTACTTTGTCTCAATCAGGCACTATAAAAAAGTAAAGCAGAAAGTTTCAACGCTATATTCCATGGGAAGAGAATTTTTAGCCCTTATTATCTCTTAAAAGTAAATAATGGCCTTACGTGAGGAGTTATAGTCATCTTTCAAGCTCCAGCAATCACCTTAATGATATTCTATTACCGGGCATTCATAAAAACAGAACTCATAGATCAGAGCGGTAAAAAGAGTTATATAATGTCCTTATTCTACTTAATGTCTTGGTATTCCAAGATATCTCGGCACGGTCGACACCATTCAGTTACCCATGTAGGGTGCACAGAATACAGGTGTGCCTTGTTTTGACTGAATCATTAGGAACATGAGCGTTGACCACTGGAAAAGTTTAAAAGATAGTATCATGAAGTGGTAACGTTGTCCATTACAAATATTTAGAACATCTATCAGACAATCAACGGCACACTTTGAAATGGCGACTTCGGTTGACAGTAGACCTTAATCAGTTGGGATGTAGGGAAATATTTCAAGAAAAATTCAGTCACGCAATCCCAAAGTGTATTTTTGTGTGTCACCAGCAGGTTTTGCGGAGCTTGAGACAAGCAATAGCACTTAAATTATAGGCACCACAAATGGCTCCATGAGCTGTAGATCGACCCATTTGAATTATTTTCAGCGTCAGTCGACCTGACATCCCAACAGAGCCAAAACGTTTCCTGTTACAGTGACAAGTGAATAAATGAATATTTTATTTCTAAACTGTGGATTTAACGTGAGAGAGGCTGGTTTACGGACACCACCTAATGGTTAATGACCTCTGGAAAGGTGCAGTACAGGCCACTACGACGCTAGGCAGACCGTTGATGGCGCTTACTCGTAAACCTGTCATAACGGCTACCGGATCATGCATAAAATCTCATGTGTCGTTCAAAATATCAGGGTATCCGCACCACCTTGAAGAAACTCCAACTGTCTAGAAGACATGAGGGAGAAGCTTGAGAGTCACACACCAGGATGATGGAATCGACCATGTGGAGGTTGAGTATGAGGGATGCGAAACATCAGGTGATGATGTATACAAGAGATCGAGCAGTTTTGCACCGAGCTGGGCACTTCATCAATTTTGCCAAAAAAGAGACCAAACTGAGGAGATGAGAAAACATCACTGATTTTGGAGTACTCTGTAACGGCGTATCGGAGGAGTAACTATCATTAAGTTTCAGGCTAATCTACTATTTCTGCTTATTAACGTTCCCTCTTTACACAGTGGTATCATACCTAGTTTTCGTTCACTTGAAAATATTTGGAAGTTCCTAACTGAGGCTCTGTTGTCTTCTCCCCTAGTCGAAGTCCCTGAGGTGTAAGTAGTTGCTCATTTTATATTCCCAACAAATGCATAATGCGGGGGCTGGTGAAGATCTGAAGCTTTAATATCGCACCAGCTGAAAAACTAGGTACTTCGCCATCCAACTTTCTTTTCTGAAGCATTTAATAAGCGCGTGCTATGTTTACATTAAAAAGAATCAGGCTCATGCAAATGGTTTGGTCATTTCCTGAGAGAGATAACAGTGATCGTAAAGCCCGTTAGTTGTTGCGTGAACGGGAGTCTACCGAAATACTGTCGTTCGTTCCGAAGACAGTGGTATCAATCCTCACGGTATTCACCCGACTGTAAAGCCATTGCTTTCGACGACTTTAACACCGGTGTTTTATGAACAAAACAATATAAAGCGTGGATTGTATAACCGTGCCCTGCCAAACTTGTTTACTCTGAATTTTACCCGTGGAACTGCTTTGTGGAAGCTTGTGGATCTTTTAAATTGTTCCTTGATTTAAATTTCCACCCATTTAGTTGATCAGTTTGGTGCTTCTTGATCCCTGTAAATGAAAAGTTGCTGTGAAGTATTATTTCATTGGAACCCATGTTTCTCGCCAACACTAGATCCAGTTTCCCGCTTTTTGTTATCATGGTATATGACCCTTTCCTCCCATACGTGTGAACGGCAGCCTATTTATTACAAGGCACTGCATGAAGCAAGGATAATACTTCATCATGGTGGGGTATTTCTACCTTTAGTCGATCATTCTGATAATCATCATATATCTTCTATACGTAGGCGACCGCAGGTTTCTGTATAATAGACAAACCCATGCCGCCGTTCCAATCTTACTGCGATTACCTTAGTTGTCGGAGGGAAATTTTCTAAAAAGCCCTGGTGACGCTTCACATGTGTGCAGTGGACTAAACCAGAGAATTTTACTTAGGTATATTTTAAATTTTTGGCTTGCTGATCCATTCTATTGAATGCTGGCAATGTCACCGTAGTGTTTTACTCCGAAACCCAATTAAAGTTTCTGGAACACTTGCAAGTTGCCCAGCACTTTCTGTTCTAGCGATGTTCCAGTGTAGTTGATAAGGTCTGTGCTGTTCGCCGGTGTATCCTTATCCTTACTGCCTAATAAGTGTGCTGCATTCAGTTTAAGCCTGATAAATAGCAATTTCCTCTCTCTGGTAGGTCTGTTTGTGATTAGGCGATTTTCTGATCACAAGGAGAATGAAATAATGGGTTTCGAGATGGATTATGTT